AATTCAATTGTATTCTTTATTTAGGGGTTATGCATTTAGGATAATGTTGCAAATGGAATCGAGTGATAGTAAAAAAATCAAACTAAACTCACTGCTCTCCAGTTGAATTAAACAAGCTCTATAATTCTGAAGCTCATATGATTTTGTCCTATTAATTATGTAAACTTTGTTACTAATATGCTAAATACAGGAATATTTAACTACTAATGGAAACAATTAACACAATAAACTGAACTTACCAAAAGAAATGTTTTAAAAGTTCAGCTATAGAAAGCTTATATCCATTTCTGTGTCTTTGCTTAAAAATAACTTCAATTTGAGATTAGCTGAGTCATTAAAATTTTTAATAGCAGGTAGCTAAACATAACTGCAGGTAAAATAATTGAAGGGAAATCTCAGTCATTGACATACAACTAACAGAAAAACATTAATAACCAAATTTCAGCATATTTAATTACTCCCTCTAAGAGGACAACTTTGGATAGAAGGGAGAGTTATATATACTTTTTTCAAAAGCCTCATGAACTCTACCACTGAGTAAACATTTACAGTAACAAAGGAAACCATGGGAAGCACTCTGTTTCTTAAGGGACTTCACATTTTCCCATAGATGATGTATCTATCTCCCTAAAGAGTATAATTAAAGAAAATGTGACAAAAGTTGAGGAAAAGAGCAAGCAATAGGTAGAGGAAATATTATAATCAGTATCATATAATAGAAACAATAATCAGAAATCACTGGATTCAATAAAACAGTGAATCAAATAATACATTGTTAGATATATTCCTATGTTGTTAAAATTTGTCTTTATGTAGATGTGCAAGATAAGGAATCAGGAGAAGTAGAAGTATTTTTAAAAACTTCTTTATAAGCAACACATAAACACAGAATATGTAAACAAATTTCTGCAAGTTGCATAACTTTGCTTTCAGTTTAAAGTGCGTCATGCATTTGGAAAGGATCCTGTTAGAAATTTGGTATAATGTTTACAATCATTAAATGCATATTTATTGAAGGATGATATACTCTGGGCTTACAATTACACATTACAGATGAAGAGGTTGTCCAATATGTGTAGAGGTTTGTTTTTAGAAAGATTGAAGAAAAATATATATCCAAGAACTCATACATATCAATATATAAAAATTGTTTTAAAAATAACAAATATATGTAAAAATTAATAGTAAGTCACAGAAAATAATAGAGAGCTTAGTTGCAGGAAAAAAATATTAAAGGTACTAAAAATAGACTAATATGTGCATTTCCTGAAGTCTTTTTGTCAATCTCTATAACTGAAATTTTGGATTTTCATAACTTGGTTTCTGATTGGGAGAATATTTTCAGGAAGCATATTTGATGATGATCTAATATCCAAAGCATATAAAAATACTTCTGTACCTTAAAAAGACAAACAACCCAATCAAAACAATGGGCAAAGGACTGAAACAGACAATTCACCAGAAAGATATCAAAAGGACAACAAACACATGAAAAGATGCTCAACTTCATTTTCATAAACCCCTTGCCATTGGAGTTGATTCTGACTCA